CAAATAGAAAATATAAAGTCATTATCATTAATAAAATAGAACAGTTTGTAAGGAAAAAAACTTATAATTACCTCGGGAAATTTCTTTTGATAGTTGATACTAGCCTTATCACTAGTTTCTCTCACCGATGAAGTGTTGCAATTTTCTCTCATATACATATCTTTATCTCTTTGCAATTCAGAGACCTGTGCTTGCAATTCCTGCAACTTTTGCAACACTTCTTCATTGGTAAGATTTGATCTTCTCCTAGAACTCTTATAAAAAGAGGTTGGAGTCACACCATGACCCTTACCCCTCACCCGACCGGGATACTCGGGAGCATCTAGTACTCTACTAAGTACGCTCTCCTCACCGGTGGATGCCGATTGCGACAAGGTCTCCTGTAATTCATTTACATTTAAATAATTATTAGTGGAGATAAAAAATCATTTATATATTAAAAAACATTTGATTTAATTAAAGACACAGTATTATACTTACACATTCAGTATAAACTCTCTGAACATCGGGATCGACAGCTTGATTCTTGCCCACACGAGCTTCCTTCCACAACACATGTACAGGAAGTGAAGCTTCCTCACTTTTAGTCTCCTCTAACTATGCATTGACACAAACGATAAAATCGTCAATTAAAACATGCACATGTAGACAATTAATTAAAACGCATTTCTATTTACTTACAATTTTATCCTCTAAGCGTGCATATCCCAAACGCCCTTTTTTGTATGGATACGCGGGTTTGGATGCTCTCTCACTATTCGTGGCACTCTTTTTCTGAAAAGCTTCATCTCTTTGCTTTACAAACTCAGCCCAATCTGCTTCATCAATGAAGGTCGCATACTTTGTTGGCCGTCCCGGTGCCTCTTCAAGAAATTTTCCATCTTTATCCTTAAGATAGGTGTTTGTCAAAAAACTTTTCCACCCTCTATATCTTTTGCCGGCCAAACTAAGTATGTAGCTTTTACGTTCATCTGGTATCTCAAAAGTCCTCTGCAAAAAAACGTACGCATAGTGTGTTAGTATAAGTAATTTAAACAATTTATCGTCAAGATAATAACAACAATTAACCATATATGATATATACCTGAAGCTCTTCCCAAATCGCTTGTTTTTTCTCCTCCAATTCTAAATTTTTCGTTTTCGATTTCCAGGTAGCTACGGAGACCGGAATATGCATACGGACAAGTGTACCAATATAACTTGTCAACTTTGCAGAATTAGGACCAATTGGTTGTTTATCAGAATTCCATTCCAATCGGTATACTAATCCTTGGTCTCTATGTCGAATGATTCCCTTCATAATAGTGATGCCTCGTGCAACCTCTTTTGCTTCAGTATCAGGTGGAGCATTTGTATCCGAAGCAACTCTTTCTTGTGAGTTTTCTTGTGAGTTTTCAGGTGGGTTTTCAGGTGGAGCATCTCTATCTGGAGCCATTGAACCTGTATCAAACAAACTAAAGCACATTAGTACACTATTAACACTAACTTTATATGAGAAACATTTCAAAAAATTACAACATAGAAGTTATTATAAGAAGAAAAAAAATCAATCCATTATTAATTGTTCAACGTGAAGATATTCAATCCATTATTAATTGTTTAAAGTACAAATTGTAAGATTTTCACATATTCGATGCCAGATTACTAAATATAATAATTAAAAAATATAAAAATGAGACCATTACTAAACATAAGCGAGTGAAGGTTATCGAGACCATTACTTTATCACTAACGTCTCTTTCTTTTCTTGGTAGGATTGTGTACTACGCGTCTCTTAACAATGCGGACGGTTGGATTGATCCAAATACCCTCATTATGATCATTTCTAATACAAGATTCATTCTCATTTTGATCGTTTCTTGTACAAGATTCAATGCCAACACCAATATCACCTTGATCTTCAATTTTTTCATCAACTATTTTGTTAGATAAAAGCACTATAGACCATTTCGTACTTGTCGGATCATTGACATAGAACACTTGTTTAGCTTGAGAGGCTAGAATGAAAGGCTCATCTTTGTACCCTACCCTATTGAGATCCACTTGCAAAAATCCTGACTTATCCATTCGTACGCCACTATTATTTTCAACCCACTTGCAACCAAATACAGGAATCTGAAACTTCGCGTAATCAAACACCAAAATGCGCTCGATAACCCCAAAATATGACAAATTTGCAAATTTCGGATTTAAGTCATTCGCACTTGATATGTGCATAGCTTCAGCTACCAAGGTAACACCACTATTTTGCATAGTACTTTTATCATCCTGTTCTTTGGTATAAAATGTGTATCCATTAATTGCGTATGCGCTATAAGAAAGCACAATTACAGATGGACCATAGGCTAAACATCTCAACCTTTCTGTTACTGAAGCAGGATCTGAACGATACTTTGAATAAATATGATCTCTAAACCACAGTATGAAACTTCGATTGTGCTCTCGTACTATCCAGTTCTCATTTCTATTTGGATTTAAATCTCGGAGAACAACTTTGTGCATTTCAACAAACGGCTCAACCTCAATCTCATTGTGCAGAACATACAAGTGCACTTGATCCCGTTCGACCATTGATACTGTCACAACTTTATTTCCAATTAGCCTTTTTCCTTCTTTTTTTTCGACAATATGAGATTTGGGGAGTCCAATTGATTGAACATTTGACAGATATTCAGTACAAAACTCAACCGCTTCTTCAGCAACGTATCGCTCGGCAATACAACCCTCTGGTCAACTTCTGTTTTTTACGTACCCTTTTAATATTTTCATATAACGTTCAGCAGGGTACATCCATCTCATATAAGCTGGTCCGCACAGTTGTGTCTCTTTCACAAGATGAACGACTAGATGAACCATTATGTCAAAAAACGAGGGAGGAAAATACATTTCAAGATCACATAAAGTAACAACTATCTCATTTTGCAATGTTGGTAAGATCGCGGGATCGACCACCTTACTGCAAATAGACCTGAAGAAGAAACACAGCTTAGTTATTGCGCTTCTTACTTTTTCTGGCAGAATAGAACGTATACCTATTGGTAAAAAATGTTCCATTATAACATGGCAATCATGCGTCTTCAAACTCTTTAACTTGAGGTCTTTCATGGACACAAGTCTTCTAATATCTGAAGAGTAGCCTTCTGGAACTTTTACTTCACTGAGGAACTTACACAATGTTTTCTTCTCCTTTCTAGATAGAGTGTAAACAGCAGGTGGCAGATATGTTCGTCTTCCTTTCGTCACGGGCCCCAATTCAGTTCTCATCCCCATGTTTACCATGTCATTCCTTATGTTAACGCCATCCTTAGACTTTCCTTGTATATTGAGTAGCGTACCTATAACGCTGTCAAATACATTTTTTTCAATATGCATAACATCCAGGAAATGTCTTACGTACAACGACTTCCAATATGGAAGTTCAAAGAAAATTGACTTCTTCTTCCACCCACCCTTGACAATTGAATGTGCAAAAGGCTTGCCAAACTGAGTGCTCACATCTTTCACCTTTTCAAAAATTTGATCACCTGACAAAAAAGGCGGGGCTGTACGATGTTCGGCCTCTCCATTGAATGCTTTTCTCCACCCACGGTAGTGATGATTAGAATTTAAGAATCTACGATGGCCGAGAAAGACATTCTTCTGACAAAGCGCCAATCGTGTCGTATCGGTTTCATCTTCACAAACAGGACACGCCTTTTGACCCTTGTTGCTGTACCCGGATAGATTTCCGTATGCTGGAAAATCATTAATTGTTCCAAACAACATCGCCCTCAAGTTGAAACTTTCTTTCCTATACCCATCGTAAACCTCCACACCTCTCTCCCACAAAAACTTTAAATCTTCGATTAAGGGTGCCAAGTATACGTCTATGTCATTCCCTGGTTGTTTAGGCCCAGAAATTAGCATAGATAACATCATGTACTTACGCTTCATACATAGCCACGGAGGTAAGTTATAAATCATAAGAATCACAGGCCATGTGCTATGCGAGATACTTTGAATACCATGCGGGTTCATTCCATCAGTAGACAATGACAACCGAAGGTTTCTTGCTTCTTTTCCAAATTCAGGATATTCAGTATCAACTTTACTCCATTGTGGTGAGTCTGCCGGATGTCGCAACTTTCCATCAATAATTCTTTCATCTGCATGCCAAGTCAAGTGTCTTGAATCGGTCTCACTACGATACATGCGTCTAAATCTCGGAATTATAGGAAAATACCATAAGACTTTAGCAGGAGACAACTTTTTCTTATATCGAGGGGCACCACATTTAGGACACTCATTCAACGCTGCATACTCGTTTCGAAACAAAACGCAATCGTTTGGACATGCATGTATCTTATCATAGCTCATTCCAATAGAAGACAACATCTTTTTGGCTTCATACGTTCGATTGGGAAGAACATTATCCTCTGGTAGCATATCTTTCATAAGGGCTAATAACTCTGTGAAACTTTTATCCGACCATCCATTGTCCGCCTTTAAGTAGTACAACTTTAACACCGCAGACAATCTTGTGAATTTTGAACAACCAACATACAACGGTTTCTCTGCATCGCTTACCAACCTCTCAAACATTTTGGGACAATCCGCAAGATCTTCTTCAAGCGCTTCTGCAATCTCTTCGACTCGATCACAATCGTATGTGTCTGTGCAATCGTCGTTTGAAGCATACTTCCTATTACAACTCGACTCAGCATTCCCGGTACTTTTCTCACCATGCATTGTCCAACATGTATAACTTCTATCAATTCCAAACCGTAGTAAATGAGATCCCAACTGATTCCCGTCAACCTTACCCCCGGCATAACAGCAACCCAAGCAAGGACACGGAATTCGAAGCGGGTCTTTGGAGTGCGCAACCGCAAACTCAACAAATTCCCATACCCCTTTCTCGTACTCTTTCGACAATCGGTTTGAATTCATCCATGTCTTATCCATGTCTTAATTAAGCTAAACAAAAACGGTCAAACTTTCACTCTTCACAAGTAACCCCTATGGCGAATTCAATTCACAAAGTTAGTAAGTACCTCACTTAACGATAGATAAATATATGAAATTAAAATTGTAAGAAATCTCTTTTAAATAAAAAGATGTTTTAAGTTTGAACTTAATTTTTGATAGTCTTGTTTAAAATTTTTATTGTATGTGTAGTAGATGTGTCAACAAATATCAAAATACAATGACTAAAATTATGAGTCCACGAGGAAAGATGATAATACAATTTATATGTAATAATTACTATTCTAAGCAAACAAGAGCTTTGTTTGAAAAATGTTTTGAACATAAAAAAATATAAAGTAAAAATAACAATGATAGAAAGTTTTTGGGGGGTTAGGATGTAATTAGTGATTACTATGATTACAGTTATATCAATATCAATTATACACATTTTATCCCTTAATCCATATTTTCACTTCACTATACAAACTCAGCATTTAATTTCAGCAGATTCACACTCTTAACTATACAAACTCAGCATCTAAGCTTACTACTACTAAGCCATATGCTGGATGTTAAACAATATCTAAAGAGCAATATTAGAGACATTGATTGATCTATCTATTTCAAGCATATTGAAAAGAAATTCAAAAAAAGATATATAATATAATGAAAAAGTAAACTATTTTATTTGATCATTTCTGTATGTTTTTACCTGATGATTTATTTTGATTTAGGTGGCATCGGGAGCAGCTCTATGGTTCGAAAACTTGAAACAGATGAAATTGATGCTGAAATGTATATTCAGCCTGGAAATCCCTATTTTTTTGCGAAATACTATCATTACAGACCCAATGAATTGGTATAATTGTTTATAATTGTGTATTTAGTCCATTTACTTACAACTATTAAATATGGCATGGCTGTTTTGTTTTGCAGCATATACCAAAAAAAGTTATTAAGGATTTCTGCCTCTGCTTCACAAAACATGTCAACCTTATATGTTGCAACTGCAAGGTATGATTTTTGCATGTCTACTTTTATTGATTTGTGTTGATGAGTAGAAATTAAAGTTTGGTGCACCCTTTGTATTTTGTTATGACAGGATATAGAGAGCAATGAAATAGCATCTTATCATGAGAAGTTGCCCGAAATGACCACAAAACATAGCAAAAAGAGAGGAGAAATACGTACATGGAAAAATGGCCGAGTGTTTGTGCTGGGGTGGGAAAATTTTTGGGCCAAGTACAAGATTAAAGAAAGTGATAGCTGCTTGTGTGAAATTGTGTTGCATCAAGAGAAAGCAATAGAAATGATAAGGGTGCACCTTGTTAGGAAGGTTAGGAATGAATGAAGAAAAGAGGGAACGCTATTTTAATGTTAACTTCAAATTTGCTTATTTCTGTCATGTGTGTTTTTATTATTTTCTTATGAAATGCTTTCTCTCTAGACTTTCAAACCATTTTTACCTATGTCTCATTGTATAATTATTAAACTTGCACTATTAAACAATTTGTCATGTTCTGCATTGGAAGAAAACAAAGCACAATGAATGATATTGATAATTTTGTTGATCAGAATTGAATTGGGAACCCTGCTAGCATTATTTGATTTCTTCGTAATGACTGTTATTTATAATTTTGTTGAGAAAAGTTTGGAAGTTTACTTGTTTACTGACATTGAGGTTGTTGAAATTATGAGCCAAATCGTGCAATCATACAAAAATTTAGTTAAGACAACTCTAAACTCGAATTTTAACAAACTTATAAAATGAAATAGATTTAGCCTTTACTCCACTGAATTCATAGTGAATCAATACACTATAGTAACCTTGCACGAGATTTTAATAAAATTACCTCTCTTTTTTATCTCAGTTTTCACATTAAGTTCATTTTCTTCTTTGTTAACTTGATTTTGTTCATGTCAATTATATATTTTATAATTGAGACGAAAATTAAATTATTCATGCATTTTTATATTGTCAATTTATATATATCGTAGGTTAAACTTGTAGTAGTCGCGTTTACAAGTCAATTTTATATAGGTAAAACTGATTTTCATAAACTCTTGATTTTAACAACTTTTTGCTGCCTATTCAAGCTAAAACAAGGTAAACTACAATCAGCTTTGCATTATAAATACAACATCTAGTTTAGTGTCGTTTGAGCTGCAAGCTATCAGTTCTATACATTTAACTTTATTTCTTGTGAAATTAATTAGACATCTTAACTGAACCTCTCACAGCATGACCAGAGGTATCATTGCGTCCAAGCCACACTACCTAAATCATTTTCATTACCTAAGTTATCTTTCTAAGCCACACTACCTAAATCATTTTCATTACCTAAGTTATCTTTCTAAGTCATTCACTTAGTACAAATCTAGATTTAACTTCACTTTTCATCATAGTTTTTGCTCAATTATCATTCAATAAACACAAACAACAATTCATAATATGATTCAAAAACACACATAACCAATTCATTACCAATACCCAAACATTAGTCATGGCTCAATCATGATTTCTTCTCATCAATTGACGAGGCATTTGACTAACTTTCTAATATATTCGACCTCACAATAATCAGATATGATTCTTGTTTTATGGTGGACACAAGGAACCAATCCATTGCATAAATCATAAGCATACATGAAACACACATGATAGTCTAAAAATACCCAATTTTCTACATACAAATCATTTCTAAACCATCCCCATCAACCCTAACCATATTCTAACATTAGTGAAATCCACATGTAAACTCTCAAGAATCAACAACAATCAAACATATCTCATGATTCCAACATAATCCAAAATAATTATAATACCAACACCACAACACATTCAACATGAAATCACACAAGTAAGCATGTATCGTCATCAAGTTTCATGTTCATAACAACAACAACACAAACCCTAACTTCCCAACCATGGATTTTTCTCTCAAAGCTAAAATTTAACTATGAACTCACCTCTAGGAAGAAGATGATGATGAAATATTGGAGACGACTTGATGAAGCAAGCTCTTGATCCTTAAGTATTCCAAGCTTTTTTTCTTTCGAAGAAGACGATTGAGAACGGAGAACGATTGAAACGATTTTGTGAGTTTTCAACGATTAGGGATTTGGAAACGATTTTGTGAGTTTTCTGAGAATGCAAGATTTTGTGAGAATGCGTTTTCAGCAGAAATTAGTATAATTTTGTTTTAAAAAATTTTAATTGTAAAGAGGGTATGACAGCGCTTTTGAAAAGCGCTTTCGTAACTAAGGCTATACCAGCGCTTTTGAGGATAAAAGCGCTCTTGTACCCCACCCCCTATATCAGCGCTTTTGAAAGCGCTTTCATAAGCCCCCTATAAGAGCGCTTTCAGAAAGCGCTTTCATACCCCCCCACTATAAGAGCGCTTTTCAAATGCGCCTTCGTACCCCAGCCTCTAAGAGCGCTTTCTGAAAGCGCTTTTGTAACCCCCCCCCTTTAAGAGCGCTTTTTTAGCGTGTTTTTTTATTTTGTTTTAGCGCAACCTATACCAGCGCTTTTTACAAAAAGCGCTTTAGTAGGGGTGCTGCTAAAAGACAAATTTGGTGTAGTGAAGCGCAAAATTCACAGTTCCAACAACTACTCATGACCTTGGCAAAGGGTCAGGAGGATCTTAAAGCATTGCTGGAAAAGGAAAAGGAAAAAGAAAAGGAGAAAAAGAAAAAGAAAAGAGTTGGTGTGGCTACTTTGGGAAGAAGATTTGAGAACCAAGCTAGAAGGGTCCTGGATTTCCCCTCGACATCTGATGAAGGGGTTGACAAAGGAAAGGGAGATGTAGTACCATCTGAGTCTGAGGCTGAAGAAGAAGAAGAGGATGAAGACTATTCTGAGCAGCAGTACCCTCCTGCAGATGACAAGTACAAGAATCTGGAAGAGCGTCTGGCGGCTATGGAGGTACAAAGAGTGCCTGGGCTGGACTTCGAAGAGCTAGGGTTGGTTGTTGGGATTGTGATTCCCCATAAATTCAAGGTGCCTACATTTGCTAAATACAATGGTTTGTCTTGTCCGAAGATGCACCTACGGTCTTACGTCAGAAAAATCCAACCTCATTCTTCTGATAAGGATCTGTGGGTCCACTTTTTTCAAGATAGTCTTTCGGGGACACAATTATATTAGTTCTACCAGCTTGAGAGATCCGATGTACACAATTGGGAGGATTTGGCTGCTGCCTTCTACAGACAATATCAATATAATGCAGACTTAGCATCTACTCGTACTCAATTACAGAGTATGGGTATGGTCTCTAATGAAGGCTTTAAGGAGTATGCCCAGAAATGGAGGGACTTGGCTGGAAGGGTGCAGCCACCATTGTCTGAAAGAGAGCTTGTTGATATGTTTTTGGGGATGCTGTCAGGTCCATTCTTTAATCACCTGATAGGGAGTTCATCTGTGGGGTTCATCGAGTTAATTCTGACGGGTGAAAGAGTTGAAGCTGGAATCAAGAGCGATAAAATTCAAAAAGATACATCTGCTTCCGCTGCCGTTAAAAAACCTTTTCCAGCAAAGAAAGAGGTGTCAGCTGTTCACTCTCAAAGAGGTCGAGGAAGAGTGGAGTGCTGGCCAGCGGTGGGGGCTGTAATGATTCAAAAGACTGTAGCTGATCAACCTAGAAATGATCAATCCAAAACCAACCAACAAAGGGTGGGAAGGCCTGCTAGGCAATTCACAAAAATAAACATGACGCCTGCCCAGGTTCTCCCCCATCTCTTGAAGTTAAACCTTACAACCTTGAGAGAGCTACCACAAAATCCAAATACAACTTCTCCTTTTTACCATGCCAACGCTAAATGTGCTTATCATTCAGACGGCATAGGGCACGACACCAACAATTGTTGGCCCCTCAAAAACAAGATCCAGGATTTAATAGATACCAAGGAGGTGGAGTTTGACTCCCCCGAAAAACCTAATGTGATATCCGCTCCAATGCCAAAACATGGTCATAATGTTCATGCTGTCGTAGAAGATCTTTATGTTGCTACTGTTGATGACTTAATGACTCCATTACCAATAATCAAGATGAATCTGTTGAAAGCCGGGATTTTCCCAGGCTGTGAAAAAGATTGTTACCTTTGTTCGTCCTTGCAATTCGACTGTCCGTTATTGAAGTTAGGCATCCAACGCCTAATGGATAATCAAGAAATCCTCTTCGAGAAAACTCCTGTTACTCATGTTACTCCAAATCCTATCAACGATGTTACTATAATTACCATTTCCGCCAGTCTTTCCAAGGTCTCCAAAAGACCTGTTAAGATTACACCCGATCCAAAGTTTGTACCTCTGAATATAACTATGCCGGGGCCTATCCCATACAAGTCCAACAAGTCAATACCGTGGAATTATGGAGGAGAGATCTTCTACCACGGTGTTAAGCAGATTAAACCAGTGGAAGAAAATTCCGATGAAGAAACTCCTGACATAGGAAATATTGCTGGGATGAGTAAGATCACTCGCAGCGGAAGAATTTTCTCTCCGGAGATTGCTCCTCCAAGGGCAATCTTCGGACCCTCAAATGCTCCTAAGGTTACTCTTGTGCCAGTCAACATCTCTGTGCAAACTCCAGTGATTGAAGAAATTGTTACTCCCGTAGTTGTACCCTCTGCTGTGGCTGCTGATAAAGGTAAGGGGATCCAGGAAACTCCCGTCAGGACGAGGGCTCAGCCTTTGGTGATCCCCGAGACCACTCAAAAGGAAATAGAGGAGATTTCAAAAATAATTAAGAAAAGCGATTATGATGTCGTAGAACAACTTGGGCAAACCCCTTCAAAAATCTCTATGCTGGCCCTATTGCTCTGTTTCGAGGCTCATGCCAAAGCCTTGATCAAATTCCTGAAGACGGCCCATGTGCCTCAAGAAACCTCCACGGACCAGTTCCAGGAGTGTGTAGCCAGCCTAACCGCCGACAATGGTCTTGGCTTCTCCGATGTCGATCTAACATCTAAGGGGAGAAAGCATAATGACGTGCTGCATGTCTCGGTGGAATGTAGAGGGACTACTCTTGCTCACATTCTGGTTGATACCGGGTCGTCTTTAAATGTCCTGCCAAAGAAAGCATTAGACAGATTGGACTGTGAAGGTTTGACCCTAAAGCCCAGCAATATCATTGTTAGAGCCTTTGACGGTTCTAAGAGGATGGTCCACGGAGAGGTGGACATCCCAATTAAAATGGGAACGGAAATTTTCAACTCTACATTTTATGTGATGGACATTCGTCCTTCATATTCTTGCTTATTGGGAAGACCCTGGATCCACAACATTGGGGCAGTCACTTCTTCTCTACACCAAATGCTCAAATACCCAGTGTGATACGGTGGGAAGAA